TTGAAGTGGATGGAAAATGATAAAAGGTTTTCAAAATGTTTTACAAATAAATATCTGAAAAGTATGGCGTGCATTTGTATTCAGCCCCCTTTACTCTGATACCCCTAACTAAAATCTAGTGGCACCAATTGCCTCCAGAAGTCACCTAATTAGTAAATAGAATCCACCTGTGTGTAACTTAATCTCAGTATAAATACAGCTGTCCTGTGAAGCTCTCAGAGGTCTGTTAGAGAACATTAGTGAACAAATATCATCATGAAGGCCAAGGAACACACTAGACAGGTCAGGAATAAAGTTGTGGAGAAGTTTAAAGCAGTGTAAGGTTATAAAAAAAAATCCCAAATTTTGAACATCTCATGCAGCACTGTTCAATCCATTATCCAAAAATGGAAAGAGAATGGCACAACTGCAAACCTACCAAGACATGGCCATCCACCTAAACTGACAGGCCGGGCAAGCATTAATCAGAGAAGCAGCTAAGAGGCCCATGGTAACTCTGGAGGAGCTGCAGAGATGCAAAGCTAGGTGAGATAATCTGTCCAGGGGAAAACTATTAGTCATGCACTCCACAAATCTGGCCTTTATGGAAGAGTGGCAAGAAGAAAGCCATTGCTGAAAGAAAGCCATAAGAAGTCCCTTTTGCAGTTTTGCGAGAAGCCATGTGGAGGACACAGCAAACATGTGGAAGAAGGTGCTCTGGTCAGATGAGACCAAAATTGAACTTTTTGGCCTAAAAACAAAATGCTATGTGTGGCAGAAAACGAACACCGCACATCAGCCTGAATACACCATCCCCACCATTAAACATGGTGGTGGCAGCATCATGTTGTGGGGATACTTTTCTTCAGCAGAGACAGGGAAGCTCGTCAGAATTGATGGGAAGATGGATGGAGCCAAATACAGGGCAATTTTAGAAGAAAACTTGTTAGAGTCTGCAAAAGACTTGAGACTGGGGCGGAGGTTCCAGTAGGGAAACAACCCTAAACATCCAGTCAGAGCTACAATGGAATGGTTTAGATCAAAGCATATTCATGTGTTATAATGGCTCAGTCAAAGTCCAGACCTAAATATAATTAAGAATCTGTGGCAAGACTTGAAAATTGCTGATCACAGACGATCTCCATCCAATCTGACGGAAACTTGAGCTATTTTGCAAAGAAGAATGGTCAAAAACTTCACTCGCGAAAGGTGGTTCTACAAAGTATTGACTGGGGGGGGGGGGGGGGCTGAATACAAATGCACGCCACACTTTTCAGATATTGATTTGTAAAAAATGTTGAAAACCATTTATCATTTTCCTTTTTCCTTCCACTTCACAATCATGCGCCACTTTGTGTTGGTCTATCGCATAAAATCCCAATAAAATACATTTATGTTTTTGGTTGTAATATTTCAAGGGGTATGAATACTTTTTCAAGACACTGCATAAAAGACTTATTTCATAAATGCCCCCATGTACAGTTGATCAGTCAGACACCTTTGCAAAAAAAAAATCTGTTCAAAATACAGCATGCAAAATTAAGCTCCAAGTATACAGCTGATCCATCTGTTATAAGAAAGCAATGGTACTCTGTACACTACAGTTGGTTCCTATCTTTTGCAGAAATCTTTACTCCTATGGAAAAAAATAGAGAAGAGCTTCTAATGCAATACTGTGGACTGACTAAGCTGGTGTGTGGTGTTCAAAGTTGCAAGTGATGAAAAAAGTTTAAGCATTTTCTCCAATTAGCATTTAAAGAGGAGTTACATCCCCTCTCCTCCCAAAAGTCAGTAGTTACAAATACTGTAGCTGCTGACTATAAATATTAGCGCACTTACCTGTCCAGGGATCCATCAGTGTCTTCACCCTGAGTTGATGCTTCAATTGGCTGTTGGCTGCTGGCGCTGCCATCTTGACTAAGGGAAACCAGCAATGAAGCCTTGCAGCTTCACAGCTGGTTTCCTACTGCTCTGCGCTTTGCGAATGAGCCGTAGTCCTCTGGGACCTGTAAAATGTCCCAAAGAGCTGCGAGGGGAGGAGGGGGGGGCAAACTCGTAGCGAACTGAACGAAAGTGGGAGTGGGTAGCTGTCCAAACCAGGTAACCGCTCCACTCTCCCACCCCCATTGCCAAAAAGTGCCAACTGTGGCAGCAGAGGGGGGAAGGAGGCAGATAAGCGGAGTTTACACTTTTGGGTGGAACTTTGCTTTAATGATTAAACATAGAATCATAGAACAAACACAAGCAGCATTCTATTCATACCCTTTCAGAAACATTATAAATAACATGTTTAATTTTAACCAAATCCCTTAGACTAGATGGAGATTTTCTTTAAAAGTTTCTGTGTCTATATCCAGGCAAGCCTTTCTAACAAGCGAGTTATTGACTAGTCTCCATTGTCTCCTTGAACCTCCTGTATTTTAAAAAGTTTAAGCGTTTAAGACAGTCCTAAATTACATATTTGAAAGGTTGAGAAATTTATTCCAGTTTAGATGAGCAGCCAGAGAATCGTATCAGAGATTCCTGATAGCAGAGAGATCCCTATCTGCAATCTGAGACAGATATCAATGCAGACCTAAACAGCTTTAGAAACCTAAGCAACCACCTTCCCAGGCTTTATTGTCACTGTGACGAACTTGGTGCCCGACCCCTGCCCTTCTCACCAACTCGTGACAAATGACCGGCCAATCTCACACCGCACTGTCACTTATGTAACATTGCCACTCTGCATCCTGCGCAGATTTTCCAGCTTGCGGGACCACAATCTAGGTGCCAGCAGCCTGAGAGTGATTGTCACTGGGTTAAGTTGATTAAGCTCTTTAAGCTACCAACTCTACCTTTTGACTGAGGAGGTGGAAACTCACATTCTTAGCAAGAACAAATATGAAAAATAAATGTCTGTACACACACCGCCACCACAGATACGTATAATCGGAGATTTGTCATATACAGTAGCACGCATCAAGAGACAGGGATTTTTTAGCTTGCATTAAAAGCCTAAGAGACAATTTCAACACTTTTCAAAAATAGGGTTTAATAATGAAAAAGTCAAAATGGTGCAAATTAAATATTTACAGAAAAAAGGGGTTTTACAAAAAACAAAGAGACAATAAAGCAACAGAGAATTAAAAAGGAGTTGAAAATGAAGAATACTTGCAAAGCTCTTGGTTTTAGCAGAGTCCAACTGATCAAAAATGGTACAGTGGCTCTCTCAAGTCCGCTTTGGTGTCTCTTGGTTGATGTTAAAAGGAAAGCAGTCAAACTGCTTGCACTCTCTTTTTTTATCTGACATCAAGGGGGCTGTTGACAGAAGCCATCTGGCCAATTACCCAGTGTAAGGTTACAACTGTATTCTGGCCCTCCCTTACACACAGTTTTATACTAATATTAACCACTTGAGGACCACCCTATAGCACTTTTACTGCTACAAAGCGGTCCTCCTGTGCAAAATCACGGATATATACGCGATTTTGCACTTTCAACATAGGGGATGCATGCGCACCACCAGCTGCTCACTGCTGCTGTGAACACTGAAAGCAGAAGCCGATCTGCGAGTCCATTCGCAGGCACCCATCGATCATCGGGCAGGAGAAAAGACAGAGATCTGCCTATGTAAACAAGGCAGAGCTCTGTTCTGAAAGGTGGTGTACTGAAGGGATGTGTGTCTCTGCAAAGCAGGGAACACGATCCTTCAGTTCTTGTAGTAACAGCGCCACCACTTGTACACCAAGCACAAAGCTAGGCATACATTTAACCCTTTGATTTCCCTACATGGTAACCCCTTCCCAACCAGTGTCATTAGTACACTGATCAGTGCATATTTTTAGCACCAGTGTCAGTGGTTCCCACAAAGTGTCAGGTAGTGTAAAAATGTAAGTCGCAATATCGCAGTCCTGCTATAAGTCGATGATCGCAGCCATTACTAGTATTATAAAAAAAAAAAATTAAAAATATTCCACTCTGTCTTATAGTTTGTAGACGCTATAACTTTTGTGCAAACTAATCAATATACACTTATTGGGATTTTCTTTATCAAAAATATGTAATAGAGTACATTTTGCCATAAATTTATGAAGAAATTTGATTTTTGAAATTTTTTTTTAAATTGTCGGTCTTGTTCTATTTATAACACAAAAACTAAAAACCACGGAGGTGATCAAATACCAAAGAAAGGTCTATTTTTTGGGGAAAAAAAAAGGATATAAATTTCATTTATGTACAGTGTTGCATGTCCGTGCAATTGTTAAAGTCACGTTGTGTCGTATCGCAAAAAATGGCCTGGTCAAGAAGGTGGGTAAATCTTCCAGAGGGCAAGTGGTTATTATCTTCCACTATGTACAGGTTGCTTTCTGGAAAGTGGTAGTTTTTTGTTCAGCATTATATTTCGTGTCCAAGGATACAAAACAGAGTATTTTGGATGGTTCTGTCACTCTGGAGGTAGGAGACTGCTATCTCCCATTTGGTATACGCCAGCTTAGTCGGGCATAACCTTGATTTGTTCAGTAGGATATTCCCCATTCAAATATATACTTCATATGAATGTGTCTTGGTCCTGTTAGATTCTATGAATTGTGTGTGGATTTTGTTAAGTTGTGAATTGAGCAGATGTCTCGGTGAGGTTGCCCTGCGCCTGCCTGCTTTCTGTGTAGACATTTTATGGCATGCTATGTGTGCTTTAATTGCCTGAAGGATTTTTCATAGTTTTACAAATAGATTATTTCCAATCCCCTCCAAAAAGTGATACATTGTAGGACTTTTTTTTATGGTCAGTAGAAACTAACAGGCATCCTGCTAGGACTCAGTTAGCTGTTTACAGCTCTGACCAAGGCCTGTGTTCTGGTGTCTGCTGTCCCTACGTTGAGGTAACAGGCTCTTTTTAAGTATGTTAAAAGTTAAGGCTATGAATTCCATAGACTGCAGGAGGATAGAGGGAGTACGATTACTGGGTTCCTGAAAAAAATGGCTAAGACTGGAACAAGTTGGTTGTCACATACAGCTTCCATGTACCTAATGCACACAACCATTACAGTCACCATATTCAGCTGATACACTATATTGCCAAACGTATTGGGCCACCCCTCCAAAATTATTGGATTCAGGTGTTCCAATCACATCCATGGCCAGAGGTGTCCAAAAACAAGCACCTAAGCATGCAAACTGCTTCTACAAACATTTGTGAAAGAATGGGTTGCTCTCAGGAGCTCAGCGAGTTCAAGCGTGGTACTAGGATAGGTTGCCACCTGTGCAATGAGTCCCTCTGTGACAATTCCTTGCTACTAAATATTCCACAGTCAACTGTTAGTGGTATTATAACAAAGTGGAAGCAACTGGGAACAGCAACTCAGCCACCAAGTAGTAGGCCACGTAAAATGACAGAGCAGGGTCAGAGCATGCTGAAGCAAACAGTGCGCAGAAGTCGCCAACTGTCTGCAGAGTCAATAGCTAAAGACCTCCAAACTTCATGTGGCCTTCAGATTAGCACAGCAGTCAGTGCGTAGAGAGCTTCATGAATGGGTTTCCATGGCCAAGCAGCTGCATCCAAGCCTTACATCACCAAGTGCAATGCAAAGTGCCGGGTGCAGTGGTGTAAAGCACACTACCACTGGACTCTAGAGTGAAAAATCATGCTTCTCAGTCTGGCAATCTGATGGACGTGTCTGGGTTAGGCAGCTTCCAGGAGAATGGTACTTGCCTGACTGCATTGTGCCAAGTGTAAAGTTTCGGGAGGGGTGTGGGGATTATGGTGTGTGGTTGTTTTTCAGCAGTTGGGCTTGGCCCCTTAGTTCCAGTGAAGGGACCTCTTAAGGTGTCAGCATACCAAAACATTTTGCACAATTTCATGTTCCCAACTTTGTGGGAACAGTTTGGGGATGGTCCCTTCCTGTTCCAACATGATGCGCACCAGTGCACAAAACAAGGTTCATAAAAGACATGGATGAGCGAGTTTGGGGTGTAGAAACTTGACTGGCCTGCAAAGACTCCTAACCTCAACCCGATAGAACAATTTTGGGATGAATTAGAGCAGAGACTGTGAGCCAGGCTTTCTTGTCTAACATCAGTGCCTGGCCTCTCAAATGCGCTTCTGGAAGAATGGTCAAACATTTTCATAGACGCACTCCTAAACCTTGTGGACCAAGAAAAGTTGAAGTTGTTATAGCTGCAAAGGGTGGGCCAATTCAATATTGAACCCTACAGACTAAGACTGGGATGCCATTAAAGTTCATGTGTGTGTAAAGGCAGGCGTCCCAATACTTTTGGCAATATAGTGTATCTAAGCACACTAGTAAGGAAAAAAGCTGAGAGCTGTAAAGGTGAGTGCTTCTTCTGCATGCTTCTGAGTGCTCCTGCATGCCATAGCTTGAGTTTGTAATGTGTGGGTTTCACTTTAAGGATCCTGGTGACAGTTGTAGAGACATTAGTAAGCCTAAACAGCAATATTTTAGAATTGTTAAAAATATGAAATACTGCATGTGAATATCCTGTATACTCATATTTAGCCAGTGGGTGGAGCCCTTTAGTATCTCGCTTTTGAACATGTTCCAATAGAAAGCTTCAATTCATAAAGATGCTTCTGCTGTGCTCTCTCTTCAGAAACCTTATAGTGCTCTATGATTTGTCATGTATCAAATGTTTTATTTGTGACATAAAAATACATAAAACTTATTCAAAAGAATTAAAGGCATTATAAATCTTTTTCCGCACAACTAGTGTTTTTCAACTGCATAATCCATGACCTCTGTGTAGTCTATGAACTGAAAAGCAGGAAGATTTTATTTCTATTACGTTAACACTCCCACATTTGTGACACTACAAGTGGATGGCAATGCATGCACTGGATGCTGTGACCTATAATAGGAAGTTGTCTTTTCCCTTTGGCAATTAGGGACAGGACAGCTGTAGCAAAACAGAGGAATTGATCAGCCATGACACTAAAAAATTTCAGCTACAAAATGTGAACTCGTCATTACAAGGTAAGGCAAACACCTGGAATACAACTACACTAATATCTAGTAAAACAACAAAATTATTTGAAAGTGTACAATGCCTTCATGAATTATTTAGCCCTGATTAAAAGAATCTCCAGTTTTCATAAATATAGAAATAACCTGACAATCTAAAATACTGTAAAGAGCACTACATTACTTATATGATTAAATAAATAAAATATAAAGCCTAACTCTAGTCACAAGAATAAAACAAAACCTTAAAGGTTAAATAAATAAAACTTAAAACCTTACATAAAACAAGCTCTTAAAGGATATTTTTTTTTAGGGGACAAGATAAAACAGTATAATATCTACTTTAAAGTAGAACTATAGAGAGGAAATACTTGCAAATTAACAAAATCCCCCTCCACCCCAGGTCACCAGAACTAGTGTCCCCATTGGAAGATTTCCCCTCTATTACTTTCACTTGCAATGACAGTAGTAAACAGGACAAAACAGAGAGGTTACAAAATATAAAAATCATGTGGCGCAAACCTAAGATGTAAAAATTAAAATAAATCAAAACAGCAAAGGCCTCCATCTTGTATCATTTCTACTCCTAAATCAGCTTCCCTCCAAATCCCCCCTCCCTCTGTTGAGTGACACGTGGTCTGTATGATGCAGAGATCACAGGCAATCAGGCTCAGTGGGAGACCTCCAGGTTTATAAATCCCACACTAGCTTGTGCCCAGGTGTCTGTTAGCTTCTCAATCTGAGATATCGTAAAGCTATAAACCAAGTCCTTCACTGAGCTTCAAAGACATTCCAGATAAGCCATAAAACAAACATCACGTTCAAAATCCACTTTCCCCTATAATTTTATAGCTGGAGATATGGAAGACTTACATAAAAACCAATAATATATTCAGATCGGTCACTTTAATACAAGTTGCCTGATATACAGTGGGGCAAAAAAGTATTTAGTCAGCCACCAATTGTGCAAGTTCTCCCACTTAAAAAGATGAGAGAGGCCTGTAATTGGCATCATAGGTAGACCTCAACTATGAGAGACAAAATGAGAAAAAAAAATCCACAAAATCACATTGGCTGATTTGGAAAGAATTTATTTGCAAATTATGGTGGAAAATAAGTATTTGGTCAATATCAAAAGTTCATCTCAATACTTTGTTATATATCCTTTGTTGGCAATGACAGAGGTCAAACGTTTCCTGCAAGTCTTCACAAGGTTGGCACACACTGTTGCTGGTAAATTGGCCCATTCCTCCATGCAGATCTCCTCTAGAGCAATGATGTTTTGGGGCTGTCGCTGGGCAACACGGACTTTCAACTCCCTCCAAAGGTTTTCTATGGGGTTGAGATCTGGAGACTGGCTAGGCCACTCCAGGACCTTGACATGCTTCTTACGAAGCCACTCCTTTGTTACCCGGGCGGTATGTTTGGGATCATTGTCATGTTGGAAGACCCAGCCACGTTTCATCTTCAATACCCTTGCTGATGGAAGGAGGTTTGCACTCAAAATCTCACGATACATGGCCCCATTCATTCTGTCCTGTACATGGATCAGTCATCCTGGTCCCTTTGCAGAGAAGCAGCCCCAAAGCAGGATGTTGCCACCCCCATGCTTCACAGTAGGTATGGTGTTCTTTGGATGCAACTCAGCATTCTCTCTCCTCCAAACACAACGAGTTGTGTTTCTACCAAACAGTTCTATTTTGATTTCATCTGACCATATGACATTCTCCCAATCCTCTTCTGGGTCATCCAAATGCTCTCTAGCAAACTTCAGACGGGCCCGGACATGTACTGGCTTAAGCAGGGGGACATGTCTGGCAATGCAGGATCTGAGTCCCTGGCGGCGTAGTGTGTTACTGATGGTAGCCTTTGTTACGTTGGTCCCAGCTCTCTGCAGGTCATTCACTAGGTCCCCCGTGTGGTCCTGGGATTTTTGTGAGATCTTGCGTGGAGCCCCAGATCAAGGAAGATTATCAGTGGTCTTGTATGTCTTCCATTTTCTAATTATTGCTCCCACAGTTGATTTGTTTACACCAAGCTGCTTGCCTATTGCAGATTCAGTCTTCCCAGCCTGTGCAGGTCTACAATTTTGTTTCTGGTGTCCTTCGACAGCTCTTTGGTCTTCACCATAGTGGAGTTTGGAGTGTGACTGTGTGACTGTTTGAGGTTGTGGACAGGTGTCTTTTATACTGATAACAAGTTCAAACAGGTGCCATTGATACAGGTAATGAGTGCAGGACAGAGGAGCCTCTTAAAGAAGAAGGTACAGGTCTGTGAGAGCCAGAAATCTTGCTTGTTTGTAGGTGACCAAATACTTATTTTCCACCATAATTTACAAATAAATTCTTTCCAAATCAGCCAATGTGATTGTTTGGCTTTTCTTTCTCATTTTGTCTCTCATAGTTGAGGTCTACCTATGATGCCAATTACAGGCCTCTCTCATCTTTTTAAGTGGGAGAACTTGCACAATTGGTGGCTGACTAAATACTTTTTTGCCCCACTGTATTACACCCCCTAGCTGGAATCTACAGGAGAGCAGAAAATTATATCTCCTTAACCGCCCCAAGCAGGTATGTCACATTTCATATCTAGACGTTCAGCAGATGCTTATACATATTAATCTACTAGTGGCTAGGCTGCTAAATGCACCGAGGGTAAGTTATGGGTCATGATATAAGCTGTGAGGGATTTTGGTTCTAGCTAGGGTCTTCGCCTACAACTCCCTTCCCAAATGAGGAGATTGGTTCTCTGCTTCAAGGAGACACCCTGCTGAGTTCCTAGAAAAGCTGTTATGCTTGGAGCCAAGTTAAGCTGAGTTGAAGTTGAAGCTCCCTTTTAACATCGGAACTAACTTTGGGAGATAAGGCCCTTTTGCTCAGAAAACTTGATCTGCTTAACCCAGGACTTTTGGCAAGTACTTTATCTCTCTAAACTTCTTTCGGTTATCACTTTCCTGTGTTAGTGCTCTCTGTATATTTATATATATATATTGGCTACATCTTTTCTGTAAATATTTTTATTGCACCCTTTTGACCTTTTAGTAATAAATCTTACTTTCTGAAAAGTGTTGAACTGTTTCTAAAGCTCTTTAATGCAAACTAAGAATCCCTGCCTCTGAACAGCGCTACTGTGTGTTTTAAAACGTCTGCATACATCTGTCTGCGGTGACATTGTGTATACAAACGATTATTCAAACATCATAGTGTTATTGCTGATATTGCCGAGTTTCCTCTTTCTCTGTACAAAAAGGAGGTGGTGGCAGTGTGAAGGGTTAATTGTGTAATTATCCTGACCCAGTAACAATCGCTCCCAGGCCGCAGGGACACAGATTGTGGTCCATTAGCTGGAAAATCTTTGTGCAGGGTACATCCGGGCGAGGCATTGTTATGCACGTGACAGCGCGGTTTTAGATTGGCTAGTCCTTCAGTCACGAGTTTGGTGAGAAGGGCTGGGGTCTGACACCACGATCATCACAATATAGTCCATAACATTTGGGAAGTCCATAATAAATAATCAATAAAAAGCACACAGTGGGCAGCTCTGCCAAGAGACTGGAATACATCCCTGTAGAGAGTGAAAAGAAACACAAGGGGGAGAAACTAAGTGCAGTATTAAAAACAATGTTTAACCTGTTCCTGCCCAGCCAATAGCATAATGATGGCCAAGAAGGACTCTCATCGATCCAGGTGGCCCGGGTCGATCTGTCACTGACTGTGTACAGCGGACACATTCGATACCAGATCTGTGTGCCGGCCCGTTGCCAGTACCATGTGACCTGCTGTGACCAATATTATATTGGAATATATGTATTATTAAACACTAATTAAACACTTTTCAAAACAGAGGTTGACTCCCCCTAGCGGAATCACAGTCAGCAATAAAAACCTAATAGGTGTTCTAATCCATCTACATTCTATCCAAAACTAAAAAAAAAAAAAAAAAAAAAGAAGTTTTGCTTTTAGTTATACTCTAATTTAGAGTCCCATGGCCTTCCTTCCCACCAGTTTTGTCTATCAACCACGCCCTAGAGATGCTCTTCTTGCTGGTCTCCGTCCTATTGCTGCCTCTATCACAGACTTCGTAACATATAATGCAAACCAACAGCCACTAATGTCACATTATATCCAATGACGTAATGAATGAATCCTTTATTAGCTGGGAAGGGAGCATTTTAATATTTTGAAAAAGCTTAGAGTTTAGCTTTAAGAACAGTGCACAAAAGGATTTGGCTGTTTGATTTTGTTTACCAGCACTAGTGCCATCAATTCAGAATGCTAAGGCTATGTTGCAGAAAAAAAGTGCATTGCCTGGAAAACAATAGATAAACATGCATAGGCTGCCACCACAGAAACACTAACACAATGCACTAAAAAGATACAGGCAAATGCATGTTCAGTGACCATTAAAAAAAAAAAAAAAAAAAAAAAAAAAAAAAAAGACTCCCAGTTTCTTTGCCTTTATTTATTTTAGGTTTAACATCTCTTTATTTTCAATTGCATCTCTCTGTATAATCACAATAAAGCTTTACTATCGAAATAGTAAAAGTTGCAAACAAAGAAAGGCTGTCTCTTTAATAGAGATTTTTCCTATATAAATTATTGCCATAAAGTTTTCCTACCGAGCAGCCTAATTAATTCTTGTTCCATACACAAAGGGAAATGCTGGGTGACAAATGGGTGCAAGGTTTGAAAGCTGCCAGGTCTGCAAAATATTTTCTACTTCAATTTAGAAGCAATTTTGCAGTAAATCATCAAGCTGAACTTGGGATCTCGGGAATCCTAGGACAGCCAAATCTTGTAAAGTCACGACTAATGTTAAAGGGAAAAAAAAAAAAAAAGAAAAAAAGAAAAAAAGAAGATGTGCCTTTAAAGCAATGCCACATTTATAGGCTCATATCACTGTGTGTTAGTTTTTCTCTAATCAATATATATTTTAGAAGAGAAGTTAGGAGTTATTTATGTAATGATTAGGTAGGGTGTATAAATATTGTTAAAGCATATCTAAACCCAAAAAACAAAGAATGTAATATACTGGTGCTGACCAAACCTTAGATATGGTGGATGTATTTGACTATTTTTTTCTGGCTTTTTCCATCCTATTTTCACCTGGTAATGCTGCCAGTAAGACACGTCCTGTCAGGGTGATAGATCTCATACACTGCGCTTTATTCTATGGATGAGCTGCATTGTCACCTAAGACTTCACTATTGATTACAGACTACAAACCATTTTCCCCCTCACCTAATCTTCAATGCATAGAAGATGAGGTGTTCTGTAGTTTATAGAAGATAGCTGGTAAGGCTGATAACATTGTTTAAAATTGCAGTTTAATTAAAAGGAAATTGCTAAAACTGGCAGGATCAATAGGTATTTCACTGTACTTGCACAAAATGTACTTTGCTTAAAAAAAGAAAATTATTTGTTGGGCGGCACAGTGGCTTAGTGGTTAGCACGTCTGCCTTGCTGTAAATGGGTCATGGGTTCGATTCCTGACCATGGCGCCTCCTGCATGGAGTTTGCATGTTCTCCCTGTGCTTGCATGGGTTCCCTCCCACACTCCAAAGACATGCTGGTAGGTTAATTGGATCCTGAACTAAATTGGCCCTAATATGTGTATGTATGAATGCAAGTTAGAGACCTTAGATTGTACACCCCTTGAGGGTTAGAGACTGATGTGAATGTTCAATATATATGTGTAAAGCGCTGCGTAAATTTACAGCGCTATACAAGTACCTGAAATAATAATAAATCAAGATTTATAAGCTGCTATATATTACATTGTTTTTCTTGGGTTAAGATTTAGGCCCCTTTCACACGGGCGTTTTGTATGTCGGTTTACATATGAAAAATAAACACCCATGTATTTCTGTGGACTAGAGGATGTAAATGAATGATCATCTGTTTACATCCATTAATATCTGTTTTTGAACGGAAGAAACCCCTATTTTTGAACAGATGAAAAACGGATGTAAACTGATGAAAACTGATGCAAACGAATGTAAACTGATGATAAACTGACGTAAACTGATGTAAAACTGATGTGATCTGATCCGTTTTTTCTTGGAAAAAAGTTACTGAACTGATGAATAAAACGGAACGCCCATGTGAAAAGACCCATACACTATATTGCCAAACGTATTGAGACACCCCTCCAAATCATTGGATTCAGGTGTTTCAATCACCTCCATGGCCAAAAGGTGTATAAAATCAAGCACCTAGGCATGCAGACTCCTTCTGCAAACATTTGTGAAAGAATAGGTCGCTCTAAGAAGCTCAGTGAATTCAAGTGTGATAGATTGCCACCTGTGCAATAAGTCCATCCATGAAATTTCCTTGCTACTAAATATTCCACAGTCAACTGTTAGTGATATTATAACAAAGTGGAAGCAACTGTGAAAAACAGCACCACAAAATGATAGGCCACATAAAATCACGGAGTGGTGTCAGCACATGCTGAAGCACACAATGCGCAGAAGTCACCAACTGTCTGCAGATTCAATAGCTAAAGACCTCCAAACTTTGTGTGGCCTTCAGATTAGCACAACAACAGTGCGTAGAGAGCTTCATGGAATGGGTTTTCATGGCCGAGCAGGTACATCCAAGCCTTACATCACCAAGCGCAATGCAAAGCATCGGATGCACTGGTGTAAACCACACTGCCACTGGACTCTAGAGCAGTGGAGACATGTTCTCTGGAGTGACAATCACACTTCTCTGTCTGGCAATCCAATGGCCAGGAGAACAGTACTTGTCTGACTGCATTGTGCCAAGTGTAAAGTTTGATGGGGATATTGTGGTGTGAGGTTGTTTTTCAGGGGGGCTTGGCCCCTTAGTTTCAGTGAAGGGAACTCATGAGGCATCACATACCAAGACATTTTGGACAATTTTATGCTCCCAACTTTGTGGAAACAGTTTGGGGATGGCCAACTTTGTGGGAACAGTTTGGGGGTGGCCCCTTCCTGTTGCAACATGATGCCCACTAGTGCACAAAGCAAGGCCCATAAAAGACATGGATTAGCGAGTTTAAGGTGGAGAAACTTGACTGGCTTGCACAGAGTCCTAACCTCAACCCGACAGAACACCTTTGGGATGAATTAGAGTGGAGCTTTCTCGTCCGACATCAGTGCCTGACCTCACATATGCGCATCTGGAAGAATGGTCAAACATTCCCATAGACACACTCCTAAAGCTTGTGGACAGCTTTCCCAGAAGAGATGAAGCTGTTATAGCTGCGAAGAGTGGGCTAACTAAATATTGAACCCTACGGACCAAGACTGGGATCACTTTACAGTTCATGTGTATGTAAAGACAGGCGTCCCAATACTTTTGGTAATATAGTGTATTTTGAAATGTATCCACAGCATGTTTTGGGTTTTTGCTGAGTATGTATAGTATAACAAGGATACAAATTTTTCAAGGACACAAGGAAACTGCTTTTGTCCATTATGTGAAACTATTCTGTTTCTTAGAATAAAGTAGAACAAAACCCAACTGATTTAATTGGGCTGTGCATTCAAAAGGACTATCAAGCCATCAAATGGCAAGTATCATAAATGACTACTAGAGCAACACCATGGCAACTGCAGATCAATCAGATGCGAAGATAGCTTCAATGGCTGAGAGTAGGGTTTAGTTCTACTTTAAGGAGAAAATATATGGTTATCTCCTCCCATAGTTTTGCATAATTCTTGCAATACCATATACTGGATACAAGACCTTACCGTAATGGACAGTGGCTGAATCTATGCCTCAGAGAAAATGACTTTGCTTTCTCAGCACATAACAAGCACAGAGTAAAGCTGGAATTGGATAAGAGTCAAGCTCTCGATGTCCCACCCCACCACAAATAGAGGAGTAGGTCTTGAACAACCGCAGCATAAGGAGGAAGGCATTCAGAAACAGGTTGGTTGTCATTTTAACCAATAAAGATATAAGTGGAAATATATTTTTCCGAGACAGAGGGCCTTGATCATGAGTTGCAATTTATCACAATGTATATGCCTTGAACATTTTAATTATTTAAAAGCTTAAAATGTCAAGCACTGTGTTTTTGGTTAGCCTATAGTCATGTTTTGTTTTCCCGACAAGTAAATTAAATTGTGCTTAGTATTACTTGCAATATATCCAATTAAAGACATTAATAGCTTAAGTTAATGCAAAGGTCATCTTATTAAAGTTGTTTGGGGGTCTGTTAATCATTTCTAAAGAAGGCAAACTATCCAATTTTTCAAAATGTAAATGTTTGCTTTTCGCATATTTTTCATGATTTATTTAAATAAATCATTTTTACATGAATGTAAAGAAGCAAATATCACGTAGAACTCCATTCATGTTTTCTTTTGATCGATTGTTGAAGGGTTAGTACCTATGACAGGTTTCATGTTGTGCTGGGCCACATAGTTGAGATAATTATTCATGTCCTGTTGTATTGCTAGGACAGGAAGCAATCTCTCTCTAAAACAAACACACAGCAATAAAAGCACTTTTTATTAGAAGTTTGGAAAAGTACAAACATGTTGTGTCTCTGTAGAAAAGATGTCCTTGTTTCTTGCTGTGCCACCTTGACAGGTAGTAGAGGAGACAATGATGGAAAAAAAAAAACATTCTGTACTATTAGCAACACGTGTGATACTTTGTTTATAACTTATTCCCGCCCTTCCCTTTAACCAGTTCTGAATACTGAAGAGGTGGGAAGGATCAGCAGTACTGCTGGATAACGTTGTTTAGTCCACACTGATTGCTGTTTGCCAGCCCTGTCCTTGTGCTGGGAGCGTGCAGTGAGCATGCTCTCAGCACATAAAGATCGGCCACCTTGTGATGCATATGTTTAGGATGTGGACATTAAATCCCAGCGAGTTTAAGGTGGAGGAACTTGACTGGCTTGCACAGAGTCCTAACCTCAACCCGACAGAACACCTTTGGGATGAATTAGAGTGGAGCTTTCTCGTCCGACATCAGTGCCTGACCTCACATATGCGCATCTGGAAGAATGGTCAAACATTCCCATAGACACACTCCTAAAGCTTCCCAATCCCCGGATCTTAATCCAATAGAAAACTTGTGGGGTGACAACAAAAATGCAGTTTCTGAGGCAAAACCAAGAAATAGAGAAGAACTGTGGAATGTAGTCCAATCATCCTGGGCTGGAATACCTGTTCACAGGTGCCAGAAGTTGGTTGACTCCATGCAACACAGATGTACAGCAGTTCTCAGAAACAGGCTTATACAACTAAATATTAATTAAGTGATTCAAAGGAAAGCAAAATCTTCAAACATTTTTCAGTTTATATAGTAAATGTTTGAGTTTGTAAAGAAGAATACAAACACTGCTATTTTTTTGAACAGTCTAATATTCACTTTTCTTAAATTTTTGGAATAGAATGTGTAGTGTTCTTAATGCATTTGTGTGTATGGAAATAAAAGCTATTAGAAGGATTTTGAGCTTTATTCACTTTTTTCAACACACTGCTATTATTTTGAACACAACTGTATTTCAAAATAGAACGAAAGGAACATTTATTTTCCATTTTGTATAGAGTAATGCAAGGTTATAATCCTTGTCAGGTTTGTTTTTGTTATCTGTGTACCATTGGGAAGATTTCCCTTCACTCCCTGTCCAATAACCAAAAAAGGAAGTGGGAAGAAATCCATTCAAAATGAGATAATCTGTGGTTGCTACCAGATATAGTGTCCCAACTGGAAGATTTCCCATCTCATATTGCTCTTGGGACATCCCAAAATGTGATATTTTTCTTTAATTTCACTTTTAATGTTCATGGTAAACATGACAAATAGAGAGGGTGAATCTCTCTAATGGGGGCACAGACAACAATAAAAACCTGATAGGTATTCTAAACCCTCTTCATTCTATCCACAATTTAAAAAAAAGTTTTAAAAAGGAAAAGATAAAAACAGGCACTCACCCCTAGTTTCTAATGCACATCAGCCTCCAGAAAAAGTCTGATTAAAGGGGCGTTCCCCCCAGTGTTTCTCTCCATACTGGCATCTCAGCACCCTCGGCGTGTGACGTCATCCATGTGTGTAGGCACTGAGTGTGGTGGCTTTTTCTTCCTTGGGCATGGAGTCTGAGTGGGCCTTGGAGTGGGCCTGTGGTCACACCGGCTGCCAGTATACCACACTACGTGCTCTTTCCTTCACCATGTCTGAGAGTGCATTAACATATTTTTTAACATATAGTTACATATACTTACTGCACTATGATATTTGTGTGCTAGATTACTTTGTCTCTCTTAAAAAAAAGTTTTGCCTTAGTTATAGTTTAAGTACACCCTGTTGACCTTTTGAAGTTGTTTCAACAGGCAAACATTAGATATTCATAAAAACAGTGCCTAAAGATAAAAGTGTTTCACTTGAATAAAAAAACATAAATTGCCCTTTCATCCATTTATTCCACATAATTGTAATATTATTTATGTGGAATATAAATAATATTAGATGCTTTAGTGATACCCTTGGCATCAAAATATAGTATTGCTCGATTTAGCAAATATGACTTCTTGTAGCATTTTGCATAACTGCTCACTAGAAATTTTTGACTACTTAAAGCAAAATTCCTTTAGTTGCAAGATGTTTTCCTTGCATGAACTGCCTGTTGCAAATCCCTCAACAACACTTCAATGGGATGCAAAAAAGGGCTTTGCCCAGCGTAGTCCATATTTCTTTCTTTTTGAGCCATCTCTTGGTAGATTTCCTATTGTACTTAGGATCATTATGTTGAAAGACTGATTTCTAGTACAATTTCAACTTTTGGACAGATGACCTCACATTCTCAATGATACAGAATATACAGCTAACGCCTAATTATAAACACAGAAATGTAATAATGTGGACTTGAAATGGTGGTAAATGTAGGGGTGTGCTTACTTTCAACATGTGACAAATTTGCATTTTCTTTCATTTAGATCATAAAAAGGAATACACCATGTCATATTTAAATATATGTTTTTCCAAGTATATCACCTTTAATATATATACATATGCACTACAGGACAAAACCAGTAATACTACAGTAATACATAGATATGAACTCTGCCAACCACTGTCTTATAGTTATTAGTAGATACACATTTTCATTACTCAAAACAGCATGGACACAGCATGTGCCTTCTTCATTTCAGCTTAATTGCAAATTGAGGTTAATTTAAAGTGTCCTGTCATAGTTACTCTCTTCATTAATAGGTTATCGGTTTAGCAGTGATGTTGGGCCTGTACCAATCCGTCTTCCTTTAGTCCTGATGCACACTGGACATTTTTACAGCTGCTGTTTTTGGTGTTTTTTTCTACAGCCAGTAAACTCCCCAGCATGTTATTCTATGTGTCCATGCATACATAGGCTTTAATCAGTGTTTTTTGGCAGGGGCTTTTTTTGGAAGGACTAGTGGGTTTCTAGGAGTTTTTTAGTTGTAAAAATACTCAAACGCTGGTAAATGTGGCAAAACTCAGAAAAAAAACAAAGCAAACCTGTATTTTTTTGAGCCAAAATTGTATTTGTTTTTGTGTAAATAATGCAATTGCAGAAAAATGCAACTAAACGCCAATTCAAAAATGCTAAAAAAAAAATGCGGAAAAACACGTGTTTTTAATGTGACTTTATACAGCTAATGCTACTGGCTTTTTTAAAATGCCCAGTGTGCATGTAGATTTAAACTGTATTAGCATCACACACATATGCACATACATGCTTGTTTAGCTATATAGACACTCTAAAAAAATGTAACATTTACAGTTTGTTTTGAAATAAAGGTCCATGTTTAAGAAATATAGCTCCTGTGGACTATTATCACATCTCTTAAAATCGAAAAGTAGTTAAAACATTGTTTTTATCTGGAGGTCTAGAAAACAAGTCTCATCAGTGATCTCTGAAGACCAGTGTTAGAAAACACTAAATTCAATTGCCCTCCAGTGGATTTACCCCCCTTCCTGACCAGGCCATTTTTTGCTATACGGTGCTGCATTACTTTAACTGACAATTGCGCAGTCATGCAACGATGCACCCAAACTAAATGTATGTTCTTTTCTTCCCACAAATAGAGCTTTCTTTCGGTGGTATTTGATTGCCTCTGTGTTTATTTTTTGCGCTATAAACAAAAAAAGATCGACAATTTTGAAAAAAACAACTATATTTTTTACTTCTTGCTATTAAACATACCCAGTAAAAACATAAAAAAAAATCTAATTTCGTCATAAATTTAGGCCAAAATGTATTCTGCTACATGTCTGCTAAGAAAAAAAATATCACTATATTTGTAAATTAATTGGATTACATGAAAGTTATAGCATTTACAAATTGCGGTATATGGCATATATACTGGATTTTTTTTTTTTTTACTAGTAATGACGGCGATCAACGACTTATAGCGGGACTGCGGCGGGCATTCTGACACTGAGGGGAACTGACTTGGTGTCACTGACATCCCCAGTGACACCAATGCAGTGATCAGTGCTAATAAAAAGCACTGACACTGTACTAATGACACTGCGCAGAAAGGGGTTAACATCTGGGGCGATCAAAGGGTTAACTGTGTGCTGTTTCACTGTGTGTTGTGTGTGTGTTTTACACTGTAAGCACACTGCTTTGTATGGCTTTGCTATGTACAGCCATACAAAGCAGTGTGCAGGAGCTGACAGGGGAGAGATCTGTGTTGTTTATACACAGGTCTCTCCCCCGTCAGTGATACTCGGCGATCGCCAGATGCCGGAGGGTAATCACCGGCCGGGAGTCAGTGAATGACAGCCGAGGACACGGGTGCGAGGTGTGCCCCCTACCCGGAACTGCAAAGTCACGTGTATATACGTGATTTCGCGCAGCTGTGCCACCCTGTAGCAGTATTTCTGCTATAGGGTGGAGTGGAAGCGGTTAAATGACATATGAAAAAGAAAGACACAGGAAACATAATAGCAGGACTAGTAAAAACAAACCACTTAATTTGGCTTTAAACTTTTATAAGGTCTTGGAATGTCTCTATACCTACCTTCATTTTCTTTTGGTGTAAAATATGGGAATTACCATTAAAACACCTGCTTTATGGCTTGTTCACACCTGACTAAATTTCTAACTCTTAACAAATGCTCCTATAACATTAGTATGGGTGCTAGACAGGCGTTAATGAGCTTTAGTATGGGTGTTAAACAAGCGTTAATGAGATTTGGTATGGGTGTTAGACTGGCGTTTTACAATAGTTAAAAAAGCTCCCCAAATGTCCTATGTGCAGTTTTGATGTGTTTTAGAAGCGTTTTACAAGCGTTAAAACCTCACCACAAAGGCCTATAATAAACTGTAATGTTATTAATGCGAGTCAACAGCACTGTAAACGCCCTGTAAATGCCTGCCAGCGTGTTTGCGGACCGTCACCATAGAATGGGAGGCATTGAAAGGCTTCAAACTCTTCCAGACTAGACATGAGGCTTCAATTTTGAAGCGACACTACACTAATGCTTCATGTTTTGATAATATGAACAGCACTATGTGCTGTCCATAGTATCGTTTGCATAGGTGTTTGAAGAGCATTAAAAACAGCTCTCAAACTCCTGCTTTCAATGTCAATGTGAACTAGGCCTTATATACAGGTGAAACTCAAAAAATTAGAATATCGTGCAAAAGTTCATTTATTTCAGTAATGCAACTTAAAAGGTGAAACTAATATATGAGATACTCATTACATGCAAAGCAAGATAGTTCAAGTCGTGATTTGTCATAATTGTGATGATTATGGCTTACAGCTCATGAAAACCCCAAATCCACAATCTCAGAAAATTAGAATATTGTGAAAAGGTGCAATATTCTAGGCTCAAAGTGTCCCACTCTAATCAGCTAATTAAGCCATAACACCTGCAAAGGGTTTCTGAGCCTTTAAATGATCTCTCAGTCTGGTTCAGTAGGAATCACAATCATGGGAAAGACTGCTGACCTGACAGTTGTGCAGAAAACCATCATTGACACCCTCCATAAGGAGGGAAAGCCTCAAAAAGTAATTGCAAAAGAAGTTGGATATTCCCAAAGTGCTGCATCAAAGCACATTAATAGAAAGTTATGTGGAAGGGAAAAGTGTGGAAGATAAAGGTACACAAGCAGCAGGGATGACCGCAGCCTGGAGAGGATTGTCAGGAAAAGGCCATTCAAAAGTGTTGGGGACTTTCACAAGGAGTGGACTGAGGCTGGAGCCAGTGCATCAAGAGCCACCACACACAGACGGATCCTGGACATGGGCTTCAAATGTTGTATTCCTCTTGTCAAGCCGCTCCTGAACAACAAACGTCAGTAGCGTCTTACCTGGGCTAAAGAAAAACAGAGCTGGTCTGTTGCTCAGAGGTCCAAAGTCCTCTTTTCTGATGAGAGCAACTTTTGCATCTCATTTGGAAACCAAGGACCCAGAGTATGGAGGAAGAATGGAGAGGCACACACTGCAAGATGCTTGCAGTCCAGTGTGAAGTTTCCACAGTCTGTGTTGATTTGGGGAACCATGTCATCTGCTGGTGTTGGTCCACTGTGCTTCATTAAGTCCAGGGTCAACACAGCTGTCTACCAGGAGATTGTGGAGCACTTCATGCTTCCTTCCGCAGACTTGGCACCTGCCCACACTGCCAAAAGCACCAAAACCTGGTTCAATGACCGTGGGATTACTGTGTTTGATTGGCCAGCAAACTCGTCTGACCTGAACCCCATAGAGAATCTATGGGGCATTGCCAAGAGAAAGATGAGAGACATGAGACCGAACAATGTAGAAGAGCTGAAGGCCGCTATTGAAGCATCCTGGTCTTCCATAACACCTCAGCAGTGCCACAGGCTGATAGCTTCCATGCCATGCCGCATTGAGGCAGTAATTGCTGCAAAAGGGGCCCAAACCAAGTACTGAGTACATATGCATGCTTATACTTTTCAGAGGTCTGATATTGTTCTATGTACAATCCTTGTTTTATTGATTGCATGTAATATTCTAATTTTCTGGGATTGTGGATTTGGAGTTTTCATGAGCTTTAAGCCATAATCATCACAATGATGACAAATCACGGCTTGAACTATCTTGCTTTGCATGTAATGAGGCTATCTCATATATTAGTTTCACCTTTTAAGTTGCATTACTGAAATAAATGAACTTTTGCACGATATTCTAATTTTTCGAGTTTCACCTGTAAATAATCTACACCAATTCTATAAATGACATCTGTACAAACAACACACTGTGACAACTAAATGAGTTGCTCATACCCATGAAGGCTGCAACTCAAGTATTCCTGAATACTAAATGGTCACTCTACCTAAAAATGACATTTTACAACTGAGTCAAATAAGTCAACTACTGGCTTCTTTAGTCTTTCAGTATTATAAGTTATAAGTACTGCTTGTACCTTGAAGAAGGGGACATACCCCGAAAGCTTGTCCTCAAAATTGTATGTTAGTGCAAATAAAAAAAGTATCACGTCAGTACTCAATTGTTTCTATCGCAAGTGCAATAATATGGCTACAATCACCTCAAGCAGTATTATAAGTTGCAAGACTCTTATAGCGCTTCGTTATATTACTATTTATATGAAAAGGAATCTATAGTGGGTTTCTATGTTTTTTCTTTCATTTTGGCCAGGGCTTAATAAAAAAAAAGTTTAAAAATATGTGTAGTCGGGTAAATATGAAATATTGCCAGAATATTATGCATACTAAAATTTTTTGCAAGAACATGAAGTTAAAGATGAAGTGAACTCTGGAAACTGCGCAGGCAAATAGCAAAAGATTAGTCACCAGCATCGCATGTGGACTCCTTGTGGCTGGTCTTTTCCTCATTACTATTCCACTATGCCTTGTTCTGCATTGTGTCTTTGTGTGGAGGTGGCCATCTTGGTAGAGCCAGGATTTTGCTTCCTCATGTCAGAGCCACCAAAACAGAATAGTGTGCAGTGCAATCCTAATAATCACCAAATCTCACTCTAAAGCTCCTAAAACAGTCACAGGTAACATTGTTTTAGATCTTAGAAGAAGGAATAAGAGTGCCTAAGCATCCTTATTTCCCATCCAGTGCACTACTGTTTCTTTAGTCGAAATTCCAGCATTCGAAGGATAAAGCATAATCAACATTTCTATTTGTTCCGCTTAACTTTGCAAATCTTTGGTTTTTGAGTTCAGGCCCACATTAAAGCAGAACTCCAGGAAAACAATCAAACACATAGAAAAAAACATATAGGTGCTGTTTTAGCTGCCAAAGGATTTGTATTACTATCCTACAAGTCCTGAGGTTAACACACATCTGACACACAGCACAGTAAAACAAACTAGTGTGGTCTGAAAAACCTTTATCATGGAATAAATGTTGACTTGCAAAACGAAGACATCTTTCTTTTAATTGGCAGAAAACATCAGCTCACGAATTCTAAGAACGTGAAATTAAAACTGACCCAAAAAATTACAATTCTGCTTTAACCACTTCATCTCCTTAGGACGTACCTGTACGTCCTCAGTTTGAAGCGATTATACCAGAATGATCTCAACAAAAAATAGTGTTGCCAGCACCACAGGTGTATAAATCAATTACTCCCCAGTTAGCCACTCAATATGTGTTTCCTCACTAAAGATGTATCTGTAAGTGCACACCAATATAGATTTATAACCAAACTAGTAAGCAGGGCTATGGAAAATAAAGAACTCAATAAAAAAAAAAAATCACTTATGCAACAATTGTGCTTACATCTACATTAAATATGTACCACTAATCCATGTGTTCCTGTGTCTTTCTTTAATTGTGTCTATGCTTTAAATCTACAGTGTGATGTGTTCCAAACTGTAAAAATACACTGTACCTCAGAGTACAATACAGCAATCAGTGTTATACTGCCACATGCCCCCTCTCTGTTAAAGACTCACCAGAGATTTTTGACTCTGTGGCATTGTGTCACAAACCTCTTTAGTGGCTGTAAGATTCTGTTACTCCCTGCCAGATCGGGACCAGAGCTCTCCACACCAGGATGACCAGTGTCAGTACATCTCAAAATGTAGGGATAGAGAAAGTCACAGAAAATATGCATCGAGCACCCCATTTATTAAAAAGTTTGTTTTTGCCAATATACAATAAAAACATATTCTTTCACTCACAGTTTTTGGTACTTTTGACCGCCACCCAGTATGTCCAGTGATGCAAGTTAAATTCCTAGATCCACTGCTGTTCCAAAATCCAGAACAAGCATGTGCTTCACTGTTGGGAAGTAACATAGATGTCCTTAGACTCCCTCAATTTATTTCGCTCTAGGAAGGGCGTTTTCAAGAAACTTCCGAAATTACATAATGTTTGGGGACTCAATCATTTTTTAGCAAAAAAATGCTGATTTTTACATGTATGTGAGAAATGTCTGAATTGGAAATAGAACAGAACAGGCCCCTTAGTAGAGATCAACTTCTAAATACAGATCAATCCCCTCAGCGTAGATGAAACACCCAGAGCACAAACCCTTTAGTGCCAAAGCCCCTCTCCCCAAGACAGACCCCACAGCACAGACATCCTACCCCTCACCCGTACAGACACCATCACCTCAAAGCACCCCCTGGATAGAGACCACTCAGTACAGACACTCCCCCCCCCCCCCCATTACAGACACCACTCCCCCACTAACAATATAGACTTCTCAACACCTATACACTCCCCTTCCCAGTACAGACCTCTATCTGTAGTCCAGATACAACAACAGTTCAGAGTCAGGGGAAGTCTTCCCCTTGGCTCTGTCATATGACTGGAGCCGAGGAGGAGCCTCTCCTTGTCTCTGA